CCAGTCTCACTAAAGAAGGTATTGAATGCATCCTGGCAAGAGATCTTCAACCGGCATGCCCTACACCTTCGATTATTCTTGGCTTTGTCGGGTCTGCAGAGGGCCTGGGACGGACTGAGGATGTCGTAGCACCGATAAACTGAGGGTTCTATCAGAGAAACAGCTTACAGATCACGTAGCACGTTTTAATCTTGCCAGACCTTGAACCTCCCACCTGCTGGGCGGTGAACTTCGAGTGCTGACAACACAGTAGAGAAAAGATACAAACCCACACATGTGTGACTTGAACAGTTTTGTCGATATGTAGCCAGCCAAGGTACGCGGCTAGACCAAGCCGGACTTGCTTACGCCGTGGGTTCCGAATCTCGAAACTCTATGATTTAGTCTATGCCTTCTTGACTATGCTTTCTCGGTTCTGCAGATAATTGGGGATTGACCGAGGATGTCGTAGCACTGAAACGATGAGGCTTCTAATCTGGAACCGGGACGCCTTTGTCCTAGACAGGCAACCCCATGCACTCAGGAGTCTTCAATCAACTGCGTGCTAATGACCCCCAAAGCCTGAGTGCATGTTCCACTCAAGTCTGTAACCCATGGCTCTTAGGTCGCTTTGTAGACTTTATGTCCAAACAAGGCTGAGATGCATCGCCACCGCCGATCCTGAGCTATTTGCTGCGTCAAGCTACAAGCATCTGAATGAACAAGTGTTGACTCTGCGGACGACGACGACACCCATTAGCGCTCCTCCTGCTGCTACTTCTGCTGCTGGTGCTGCTCTGCCTCCCGCTTCTACCAGCCCTAGAATCCTAGAAACGACACCAGCTCGTACTTGCCCAAGTCTCGTCTTGTCTGAGGGCATCTGTCCATCGGGCTGGATGCCGTGCTCGAGGCAGAAGAGCTCCCAGCAAGCATTGCCGATCTGGACGCCACCCTTCGAGGTTTGCGGGTACAGGCCCATCTACGTACTGTTCGAACTAAGCTGAGGCAATCTGAAACATGCATTATCAACTGATCTTGCGGTGCAAAGCGTGTTTGCAGTTTCACCGGCGCCTGTCCGATGTGGATGCAGATTGCCTCACGCATGGCTGCGAAGCGAAGATCTCAAAGGAGAGCGTCGGAAGTCACCTCGTGATGCAGTGGCCTCAGGCACCTAATCCTGGAAGAGCCAACGGCAGCGACACAACGAAAAGCGAACTTCGAAATTTGAACGACCCCGCTAAAAGCTCTACCTGCGGTCACAACTGCGACTGGTGTTTTGATGGCCCGCGAAAGCAGCAAACTGAACCCACCGCCTCGCGTCGCAGATGACGGTTGAAGGCAAAGCCGCAGACCTCATACCCAAACCCCGCCAAAACAACCCTTCAAGTAAGGAACCTGTTTGGAACCCGCGTGAAATAAGCGCGACCCCACCCTCCAGGACCCGCACGCTGCTGTTCAGGTCGTGGCTGAGGCTGTCGTAGAAACGTGCCGAGGCGACGTGGCTCCTGGGGCTTAGGGGGTGTGCACTACACTGTACTTGGAGGATCGCGGAACTTTGTAACGAAGGTTACAGGAGCCCTAACTGGGGTTATAAGTAACTAGCCCTAATTATACAAAGTCCCATGACCCTCCAAGTAAACCCTCAACCCTAAACCTGAGACCCCAGCCTCTGTTCCCAATAACCCCTAACCCTGAAACCTCCGCACCCTAGTCAGATCCATCTGCCCAAAAGTGCAAGGCCCTGGTCCTGTACGAACTATGCATCAAGCCCCCCAAAGTAGACATCCGAATCACAGCTTGACGGCAATACAAGCCCAAGCCCGGATCCAAAAAGTCCTCAACAGCAAACCCCTAAACCTGAACCCCGAAACACGCACGCACACAACCACACAGAGACTCTCGATAAGTTAAGCGTACTCATGGTTGGATTTAATTACTTCGAAGATGCTGGAAGGTTTGTGACGCTTCCTGGTTGCATGTTCAGAAACGGCTCTGATTGCAGCAACCGTACATGCCACTTGTTGCAAATATTCACAGGTGTCCTGACCCGTGTAAACTGTAGTGTACTGCTTTTTGCCGGGAACCAAACGGCGGTGATAACCATACACAGCGAGGATGCTAGTTACTTGTTACGTTCAGTATCACTGTGCAGGTACGCTCGAGTAATGCAAATACACTGCACTGACCAAGAGCAGCATCCCACTCTGTGACCTAGCTCTTTGTTCAGTCACATAGTTGCCAGTCCCCTATGCAGTCCCCTGCACAAAAGCTTGATGAGATGGCGCCAACGAATGTGTCCTGCGTGTATGGTGTGAAAAAACTCACTTGGGACTTGACTCCCTTAAGCTCATGAGCGAGAACCACACACACACAAGCGTTGCCTCACCGATGCCTCGGGGGCGGACGCCGCACAGGTGTCCTGGCATGAGCTTTTGGTTTAATTTAGGGATTCTGGTGTTTAGCCGGTGGGTGTCGTGAGGATTCTGCAAGCATTGAGGGTGTAGGGCTATTGCTACTGCTGCCACCCCCAAAAGCACCACCACCACCACCACGACGGACGTTACTACGTTGGACTACCAGAACCACGACTACTACGACGATTACTGCCAATGGACTGACTACGACGACGAAGACGAAACCGACGACCCTGAACCAGCATCCGAAGACCTCGATCGATGACGGGCGTGGGCTTGTTTGGTTGCCGGAGGCCTTCTTTCCACTGTCGGAAAGACGAGCAAACATAACGCATACGAGACTGTTAAAGAAAAGTGAGAAGAAAACGAGAATCAGGCCAGCCAGTGGCAACAGCCGCCATGACCATGACTGCAATTGTTAACCTGAGCGACGACAAACACCCTTCACCCTAAACACCCCAACCCCAAGTCCTAAGCCTTAAACCCTAAGCCCTGAAGTCTCTAAAACTTACATCATCACGAAAGCCTAGATTCCTTACAGAACCCTGCTCGGATCCTTAAAGAACCTTGAAAAAACTACACGACCTATCCAAACCCTCACAAACCCCTAGAACCCTACTCACAGCGACTAAAACCCTGCCAAAGCCTCCCGAATATATGGAACATAACAGACCATCGTAGGGCCGTTAGAAGAAACTTAAATTGAAAAACAAACCCTTTCTGCAGCCCTTATTAGAACCCTAAACCCTAAAATCCTAAAACTCTACAGCCCGAAGGGCCTGACTCTAAAACCCTCAACCTTTAACTCCGAAACACCCTCAAGGTCTGAAAACCCCTAAAGCACTGTAAAACCCCCAAACCCTGAAATCCCTCAAGTCCTGAAACCCTAAACCGAAGGGTAGAGTTTATATAATATATATATATATATGTATATAAATTATATATATATATATAGTATATATATATATAGTAGATATGGTATATATGGTATATTTAGTGTAATATATATATATATATATGTAGTGTGTGTGTGTATATATATATAGAGAGAGAGAGTGTGTGTGTGTATATATAGTATATAAGGTATATAAAGTAGAAAAACAAAGGTAGAGTGGCAGCAAGGTGGCTTGGCCCAGCCTCCTCCGACTCCTCGGGGCCAAGGCAGCTCGAAACCTAAAACTGCAGGGTTTGCTACTGCTCACCACCACTACTACTACTACTACTACTACTACTACTACTACTACTCCTGCTACTACTACTACTGCTACTACTACTTTTGCTGTTATTACTATTATTATTGCTATGTTATTGCGGTTCATATTCTTACTCTTATTGCGGATATTATTAGTGGTGGTAGTCTTATCGTTATAGCTACAGAAACCGAATATGCACTCGCACTAAATACTCCGACCGCTTATATTAGAGTCGGCATGCACTTGCTGCACAGCGTTCTATATCTCTCAAAGTCTTCTTTCCTCTGTGTAAACGGCACTTGTCTGAAGCCTCAGCACTGAGCCGGTGCTTCAAAAGTGTGAAACAGCACCTGCGCAGGAGTCCGATAAAAGGCAGTTCCTGCGCAGGAGCCCGTTAAAAGGCTCAGGTGCCTTAGTAAGTGAGCTTACAAGTAAGGAAACTATGTGAGGAAACTATATTTTGTATCTATTGTAAGTATACTTTTAAATAAGGTAGCTGTACTTACGTGTGCTTACAACACCAGCAAAAGTGCTAATAATGCTGCTTACTACGTCCCCTGATCCTTCAAGAGGGATTCGGCTCTTCGAGTGCAGCCTGGACAGAAGTCATCTGGCTCATTCGTCGAACTACTACAGTACCGTATAATATTCTATCTGTCTACCTACCTACCTAAATTTGTACAGGCATGCATGTGTGGGGGGGTGTGTGTATGTATGTATATATATATATATATATGCTACCCCCCCCCCTGGGTTATCCACCCGTTGCGGGGCAAAAGGAGGGTTGGACCGCATGGTCGGGCCGCGGTGCGGCATCTGGGATCTCGGAACTCCTTGAACGAATCGAAGCTTGTTTAGTAGGGATACATACAGAGAGCAGAATACCTTATAAAATACCTCTGATACATACCCTATAGAATACCTTCTACCTTATAGAATACTTTGTACTGGCCCCCCGATATAACGTACATATACATTAGACAATGCCATCTGGAATACCCTGTTGAATACCTTATAAACGACCGCCTGTATATGATTACCCTTGTATACCTTACATATGCCATATAGAATACCTACAGAATACCTATAGAATACATTGTAGGATTCTCTCTAGAATCACTTACAGAATACCCTATAGAGCACCCTAGATAGGGATTTTGAATATGGAAAACCAGTCGGAACTGAACATCTGAGCAGTTCTCAGTTGATCTGTAACTTACGGGCAAAGGGGTTCCTACGATTGAAATCAGGAACCAGGACGAGTAGCCTTACAACTACCCTATAGCAGGCCTTACAACTACCTTATAGAATACCCCCTCTATGTGTTTTACCTGTAGAATATCTTATAGGACTCCCTCCAGAATCCCCTATGGAATACCCTAGAGACAGGGAGTAAAAATGTGGAAACCAGTCGGAGCTGAAGATCTGAGAAGTCCCCAGTTGAACTGTAGCTTATGGGTAGG